TATATTAGGGTCCCCTATTTTCGGAAACTCCCATATGTGGAAGCTTCAGGCATTTCATTGATATCCAGACCCTCGGGAGGATCCAAAAAGTACATCCCTTAATGGGGGCTCCTATAAAGTATCCTTACTAGTATAGGGCCCCAAATAAGGAGATCTACTTTCTGGATGCTCCTGTGGGGTCTGGGGATATCTGGAAGCTTAAAGCATCCCAACCGCTTGGCTGTTATAGGCTGACGGGGGGGGAGGAGTGTTGACAGATTCTATGAGGTGGTGCTACCGGGGTTTTTTAGGATTGCACCATAAACTCCAGGAGTTGTGCTGCAGGCCCTGTTGCAGAAGAGGCTATTGGGAAGACACCTCACTAGGGAGTTTCCGAATATAGGGGTACCTTATTTTGGGGTCCTTATAATAAGGATCCTACTTTTTAGGGTACTCTATTAGGGTCCCCTATTTTCGGAAACTCCCACTACGGGCTTACGGAAATCCCAACAAAAGAGGCGCCTAGCTTCTGGCGATTGCAGGGACGGGTACTTGGAAACCAACCATGCTCGGATACTGCTTAATTATTATATATTACATACTATATGTTGTATATAGTAGAGTGTGGATAATATTTCTTCAAACCCTGAACCTAAGGCCCGAAGGCGTAAGCAGGGGAGGATGATCGCTCCCCGAAACTGAAGTCACATTCAGGAACTGCATTTGAGTGACCATGACTGACAGTGGGGTGACTTTTAGGGTCCTTTCATTAAGCTGGGCTTTGGAGTACCATACTTCAATGCTTTTTTAAGGAAAAATTATGAAATACAAGTTTATACTTTTTTCTCCCTGGTTACTTAAAAAGCCCAGCAAGGGTGCCGTACGCACATAGTCGCGACCCCATACAACTAAAACTACACCGACCCGAAAGAAAGGACTCCGAAGCTTCAGTTTGAGAGCCGCTCCTGAGATTTAGAGCCTTCCCAAAATCATTTCGGAAGAGCCTTTATATGGAGATATACATATTTATATATATATATATATATATATATATATCACATATACACCTATATGTATGTATATGCAGGTATGTGTTTATGTACGTGTGTATGTCTGTATGTGTATTTGCATATACATCTCCGTGAAGCTACATATACATGTGTGTATATACATGCACACATGTGCATAATACGCACATATATGTACAGATAGGTGTGGATTCATTGTAGTTATAGTATGGTCTAAAAGAGTAAATATCGTGGCTAATGGTTTTATGCCAGAAATGTATACAATTCTGATGGGTCCTTATTATAGTTATGGTATAGTCTACCCGAAAACCCTGAGGGCTCCTTGCCGCCCAGGCTCTGGGCCTCTCACCCCGACACCCTGCGGAAGATCGCGAAGCACTGGGAGATGGGGCCTGAGCGCGGATTTCGGTAGTTTCCGAAAGTTAGGGATACCTCAAAGGGTTCCTTTAAAGGGTTACTATAAGGGTGCTATAAGGGTTCCTTTAAAGGGCTCTATAAGGGTTTAGAGTTTCCGAAAATTAGGGGTACCGTATTTTGGGGTGTTCATAGTAAAGATCCTATTATTTAGGCTACTTTGGGTCCCCTATTCTCAGAAAGCCCCAGTTCGGGTTTGGGCTTTAGGGGTTTAGGGGTTTAGGGATTAGAGTTTGCAATCGGGGTCGGAATAAGCGGTCTTTGGATGAGGGTTTGTAGGGTTTTACAAGGGTTTAGCAGCTCTGATGTTTTTAGAATGGCTCTGGAAAGTTGAGGGTGCAATATGGGATTATAAGTACTTATATAGTTACCCTATTTCTAACCCCAATTACTAAGTCCCATGATCCTCCAAGTACATTAGGATTTGGTTGTCAATAGCCCGGCTGTTTAGCTGAGGGCTTAGGGGTCTCAGAGTTTAGGCATTGAGGCTCCGGGAAGTTCGGAAGGCGTGGTTTCGAGTTGGGAAATGGAGCGATGAGCAGGTCAAGATTTCCAACACCAAACTGTCAAGCTTCTTGCACTCACCAGAAGCTGCAGTTAGTCAGGGACAGGGATGTTAGGGTTTCGGGTGCCTTGGGCTTTAGGATTCAAGGCTCATGGTCGGCGATGAGTTTGGCCTTCGTGGGCTTGTCGGTCAGCCTGAAGGAATGACAACAACAACCTGCCGGACTCGGAAACTCTTAAACCGGCACTACATGGAGTATCGTCACTGCTTTCAGATTACGACGACTGCCTTGAAGACGAACAGTGCCAAGACGACAAAGCGTTGTACAGTCACAACGACTATTACCGCCGCCACAACATACCACTACGTCTGCCACTGCCACGGCTGCTGCTACTTCTAGTCGTTCTCCTGCTACCAGCTCAGTTGTTGCTGCTGCTGTTTGTGGGGTTAGTCACGTGAGCTAACAACAAGATACACGACCAGGACTGGCGAGCCAATTCCAGAGTCGTTGCTGGAAGGGCTGGAGAAGTCGCAGGCGCGGCCTGTTTCTGCAGAGTCGAACTCTTCCGTGCATCCTACGATGTAAATCATGCTCTGTAGTCCCCCCACACCACGCCGCACACCCAAAAGCGTAAACACCCCCAACCCCAGGGCCTGCACCGTGGAGCTGAGCTCGTGGAACGCGTGGCCTGGGCCAGTGAACTCAGCCCAAGAGAGCGGAGGGAGTTGTGCTCAGGGGAACTAGAAATATGGCATTTAGGTTCTGCCTTAGTTTACACGCTCTGCAGGGGTTTTACACCCTTTTTCGGCAGAGCGTTAGATGGCCTTTTGCCTGGTATGTTGCATGGTTTTGGGCTTTGGGTTTGGAAGGTGTAGACTCTCCACGCTTCAGGGGGAGCAAGAACCGAAGAAGAATAGCTCTGCTTCTTGCCTTCCCGGACCCTAAACCCTAGACCCCTAACCCTGAACCTTGCCTCCAGGCCCCTAAACCCTGACAGCGGACTGAAGCTTTCAGCCCAAAGCCGTTTGGAGACATCCCGCCGAACCCGGGCTTTGGGATACTTCGAGATCATGGGACATAGTATCTAGGGTTATGTCAATCATGTAGTTTTGTGTTTGGATGCGCACTTTCGCGAGTTGCAGGGTGTTCTAGGGTTATAAGCAAGATGGACCCTTGAACCCCTCCATGTGGAAATGTGTTAAACTGGAACGCTCCCCCTCCCACAGAAGGCTCGAAGACCCCCTAAACCCCCAACCCTAAACCCTAGATTGCAAGGCCTTACGCCTTCAATCCCAAGCCCTAAACCCCCCGAATCCCCGAATCCCCGAACCCTAAGCCGCTGCCCCCAGGCCCAGCTGGACCTGGATCTCCACTCTTCCCAGGAGCCCACTGGCTGTCTTCAGTTCCCCAGACCCTCCCGGGACGGTTGATGATGTAAATCCTGCATTACCTTCAGGAGCCTAAACTATGGGAATTATGGTATATTCCATACTATGGGTAATGCAGGACTTATATCATCAGCCGGAGGATCATGGGACTTAGTAGGGTTCCTTAAAGGGCTCCTTTATGGGATCCTTTTGGGTTTAGGGTTTCGGGATCTATAAGGGAAAGTAAATCCCCGAATTTGGGGCCCTATACTACTAAGGGTACTTAGGAACCCCCATTAAGGGATCTACTTTTTGGATCCTCCAAAGGGGGTCTGAGTCACTGTGTTCAGTTCACTATACATATTTACCAACAGTCTAGCATAGGGGCCTTGGTAATTTTAATAGGGTTTTGGGGCCCGGGAAGCACCAGGTTTTATGCAAAACAAGGCTGTCACGATTATGACTTAGTTGCTGCGTAGGTAACCTTTAGCCTTTTTGGGGGCTTATGTAATCCTACCCTAATTCCGTTATGATTATGGGTGTTGCCATTGCTTTTGCTAATATTGCTACTATCTCTATGTTTACTACTGTTAGGGCTTGGTATTTCAGGGTTTGAGCTTGGCACGGAATACTTAGTAACAGGCTTCCCTTTAAGGGCCGAACTAGAACTCAGTTGCTCTGTCCCCTGATCTTTGAGCAGGGCTTCGACCAGAAGAGCAGCTGCATACCCAGTTTTTGGGGCTCCGAGTGCTGCCTCTGCTCGGATTCTTGGAGATCTCAACGCTCCTGAATTAAGGAAAAAGAGATTCTACCATAGTCAGAAGCCGATGACATGTTTCAGGCGTATTCCTAATCAGGGATCAAGGGTATTGGGCTCTCTAGTTCAGGTGTTGGGTTTTGGGTTTCTCATTCTTTAAGTTGTCACAAGGACGAAAGCAAAGTCTGGACTACATATCCCTAGCAAGAACCCGGCCTCGCTGGGTCTTTCTCTGCGACGAAGAGCAGCCCAAAGTGAAACAAATTCCTGTCCGCAGACGATCGGAGGTTCACAGGGTAGAAGGCGGAAGGCAACGCTCTTTCTGCCTTACTTCTCTGCAGCCACGGCGTGTCTTTGTCATAGTTGGGCATCATTTTGCATATATGTGGATACTTAATCCCAAGAAGGAATGAGCAAATCAGTTTTTCATACCACCCCAACCCAACCATGATGCACAATATATATATATATATATATATATATATGTATGTATGTGTATATATATATACATATTATATATATATATATATATATATGTATATCATATAGACATGCATATACATATGTATGTGTGTATATATCTATGTACTGTATACTCCTTTATTAGTTCATATGTATGGTTACATGTCTGGTGTACTTATTCCCAATTACAGTTTTTGAACTTCTATCCCCGCGATGGACTAGGTGTTGCTGGAGCCCGAAGATCGCGGTCGCGGCCGACGAGATCCAAACGAGATCTGCGGGAGCCGAAGCGATGCAAAAGGTCGCTTTGAAGTTACCTTTTGTTACAAGGTTTCCGATACTTGTAAGGCTAACTATAGATTACATAGAAAACATATACAACATGTGTGTGTATACATATATATCTACACATATGTGTGTACATATACATAAGTTCATGTGTATGTATATGGCATGTTCGAAGGTCGCTTTGAAGACGGTGGTTTTCATGGGCTCCGCCCGCAACGTGGTTCCTCCATGGGGTGGTGACGCACGCTTGGGCGACCGCGTTTTGAAGCACGTGCTCAGCGTATTGAAAGCCAGGGACGAGGCCTACGGACAGGACCACGTTTTTGACCAAGACTGCCAGTCTAGGATGCCCAGTAATACCCTTATTCCCTTTTTGTAGTCCTAGGTTCCTTATAAAGGTACCCAACACCAAAAAGAGAGGCCTTTTTTTTTCTTAGGTTACTGGGTCTCCTAGCAGTAGTAACACTATGACTTCTATTTTTATGATTAACTAACTTAACTTTGCGTATCGTTACTATTAAGCTTATTCTTGCTATTGTTACGCCTCCTAATACTACTGCTACCATTACTGTGGCTATTCCTGCTACTGCTACTACCACTACCACTACCACCACCACTGAAGACCCAAGACTCACTCAACACCTACCGCTACCACAAGCACCGCTCCTTATACCATGGTTCGTACGGACAGGACCAGGTCAGCCACGAGGTTTCCGTTTTCGACCCCGTCGAGGTCTTCGGTCCGGGCGGGGCGCTTGAAGGTGATGGCCATCTCACTACGCCACACTTCTTCCTGAAGGCCGATGTTATATTGTACTGATGCTATATACTTTAGGGGGTTAGGGGTTTAGAAGTTTAGGGGTTTACGGGTTTTACCTTACCATGTATCATGCTATCTCAGGTTATATGATGTCATATTATATGTTATTATATCCTCAAAGCCATCACAAACCTCCTGGGTTTCGGGTATATTTGGGGCTCAGGCCTTAGGGGGCTTTGGGAATTTGAGTTCAGACACTTCTCCCTGGAGGCCGGCACGAACGCCAAGATGGATGAGATGCAACTCGGCTGCCGAGGTCTACTTGGAAGTTCATGGGAAGTTATAAGTAGAGTTATAGTAGGATAACTATACTTATAATCCATATTAGGGACTTATAACCCCAATTATAACTACCCATGAACCTCCAAGTACGGGTATAGGGTTTAGAGGTTTAGGGTTTAGGGTCTAGGAGGGTTGTATTTCTTATATACCGACACCTTTTGCATCTTTTTGATTTGTAAGAGTTTAGCAATTCTCAGAATATGGAAGGCAAAGGGGTGCCGCTTAGAGGAACAATGGACTTAGTAGCTAGTGCCATAAATAGGTTAACTGTCGTCATATTCATTTGTATCTCCAGTATTTATGATCTTACTTACTAAGACCCCTCATCCTCGAAGTACTGCGGGACTTAGGCAGGCCACCATCAAGGCGGCCGATGGTTACGTGGTGGTCACAGCAGAGTATAACCATTCCTTGCCGCCTGCGCTGACCAGTTTGATGGGACATTTCGGTGGATCGAACTACAAGTGCAACTAGGCCGCTCTTGAGAGTAACGTCTCGTGTAGCGTTGTATAAAGTAAAAAGTAGAGTTTTGCATTGTACTGTAGAATCTTAAGAAGGAACACAAAGTCGATATTTTGAAAGGGCCTCCCGGAACAGCCGAGGCAAGCCCTCCTGCATCGTGACCTACAGCCCCGGTCCCTGGGCGGGCATGCGCGCGGCCATGGCGGCGCGCCCTTTCCTTTCAGAGCTCGGCTGCATCCCCGTGAGCAAGCTGGCGGCCTTCCCTGCGCCAAATGAGCTTTTCGACGAGGAAGGTGCACCAAAGGATCCCGAGGCGCGCATGCTCAAACAGCTACCGGCCATGGTGGGCGAGTTGGAGTGGATGGCACTCGCAATGAAGAAGATGCGCGACTCCGCCGGGCTGCCCAAGTGAGACAGCAGCCATCGCGTCGTCTCTTCCCAGGAAAAATCGTGTCGTTGGAAGGGGGGGAAGGGTGGATGTCTAAAGACATAAGGTATAAGGCTTGGGTGCAGGGATCGAGTCATCATCGTAATCTTAGTAGGAGAGAATAATCTTTAGATCAGTACAGTATGTTTCTTGAATGTCTATCCAGGCTGTGTATAGGGTTAGGGTCATACAAGGCTCTTGGAGTTTAGAGGCCTAAAACCATTCCGGCAAGCCATATTCGAGCACAAAGAGCCAAAAGAAACACCGAATCTGCAGAAGCTTCTAGAGTATGTTACGGGTTTTCATAAAACAATTCACTAGCAGCTTCTGCGACAGGACCCGTCTCCAGATGCCATCGCGGACCTGGCACGGCGACGTCTCACCAGCCAGGTTGGCGCCTTTGAGGGATTGTGGGATCTTAGACTACTTGGAGGATCATGCGACTTAGTAAGTAAGGTTATAAGTACCCTAATTGGGGCTATAAGTAATTGAAACCATAGTTACCCTATTGAATTTATAACCCCAGCTACTAAGTCCCATGATCCTCTAAGTAGAGGCCTGGGTTGAGGGTTCTCCTTATTAAAGTTTCTGTCATATTGTTAATGAAGTTCTTGCCAATTTACCCATAGACTCCATAGTAGTTCGTTTTGGGGATTACCTTATAGGATTATAAATATGAACAGGGCTTAGGACTTTGAGGCTGTTCTCGCATCCCCAAAAAGTGATAAGGATAGCCAAACTCAATAGAGGGGCCTGAGTAGCTTTCATTGCTCTCCCTCGTGCTCCTGATTATCGCTACACTGCTACACAAGAACCAAACCCTATTGAAATTAGATGCTGAGGCTCGTGTACCCTATAAAGCCTTGTAGAACCCTCATAGGAGGAAGCCCGATTCCAACTAGGAAGGCCTCCACCTAGAGGATCATGGAGCTTACTACCCACGGTGGAAAAGTTGTAGCTATAGTTATAGCTACACATAACCCCAATTAGTACGGTACTTGTATCCTTGAATACGAAGTCCCCGGATCCTCCAAGTACCCTATACCCTAAACCCTTATCCTGCCCCTGTAGATCCCCTAAAGAGACCCTTAAGATCCTTACTTGCGAAGCTGGAGGATCCTTGAAGTTATATTTACTTGGGACGTATCATAATCAGGGGTTACAAACATAGGGTAGCTATCACTACATGTATTTATAACAAGAGCTTGGGTACGATCGGCCCCTATGCTAGCCACCTCCACAGCCCAGAAATTCTGGGAGGATCCAAAAAGTTGATCCCTTGATGAGGGGGTTCCTATAAAGTATCCTTAGTAGTATAGGGACCCAAATTAGGGGATCTACTTTCTATATTATAATACACTATACTATGCTAATGTAGGGGCCTTAATAGTTAGAATAGGGTTTTCGTGCCCAATATACCAAATTCCCCCTATAGATCCCTAAACTCTAAACCCTGAACCCAAAAAGATCCCATAAAGGAGCCCTTTAAGGAACCCTACTAAGTCCCATAATCCTCCCGGGGGTGTCTGGGAGACTCTAAGCCCTTAAACCCCTAAACCCTAAATCCTAAGCCCCTAGACCCTAAACAGTATAGATCTCTTATAGTAGCCCTTAGACCCTAGGAACCCCTATAGATCCCTTTAAAGGAACCCTTATAGATCCCTTTAAAGGAACCCCTATAGTCCTCCCGGGGGTCTGGGTATACCCTAAGTTAATATTATAGTAGCCTTATAGATCTCCTATAGCAGCCCTTATAGATCCCTTTAAAGGAACCCTGTTAAGGCCCGTTTTATAATCCTCCAAAATGGGTCTGGGAGACCCTAAGCCCTTAAACTCCTAAACCCTAAACCCCCTTATAGACCCCTTTAAAGGAACCCCTATAGTCCTTTTGGGGGGTCTGGGAGACCTCGAGGATCTCGGACCCGAGGTCGCGGAGAAGGGCCCGGGGGCCCGGAGAAGCGGAAGCCGCGGGGGCTTTAAAGGGATCTATAGGGGTTCCTTTAAAGGGATCTAAAAGGTTTTAGGGTTTTGGGGTTTTAGGGTTTAAGGGTTTAAAAAGTCTAGGGCTTCGGGTTTAGGGTTTAGGGTTGCGGCTCGTAAGGAATAGAACTCTTAATGAACAAAGCCTTGAAATTGATAGAAATAGGCTTTGGGGTAGATTAGAGTATGACTTTTTTCCATGAGTAGAACTCCTAATAGATAGAACTTTCTATGAAATAGAATAGGCTTTGGGGGGTAGATGATATTATGAGTTTTATCGGGAAACGGAGCAATAATATTGCGATAGACTGGGGAATTGCGGGTTAAAGAAGGGCTCTTGGGGATGCCAGGGTTGGGGGTTCGAGGGTTTAGGGCTAGCTTCTGATGGTGGGAAAGCCCACCCTAAAGCCGAAGCCCTAAACCCCTAAACCCGAAAACCCTAACAGCCCCAATCCCTAAACCCCTAAACCCTAAACCTCGAAGCCCCAAACCCCTAAATCCTACACCCTAAACCCTTAAACCCTAAGCCCCAAGCCTATGCCACGACAAGCGCAGTCTCCAGACTCGCGCAGAAAACCGAAGGTGTCCTCAGAAAGACGGACACCCAAAGCCGTAAACCCTGGAGCCCTACACCCGAAAGCCCTGAAGAGTTAATCCCTAAACTATTATTATTTCTAGCATTACTATTCACAGTTTTTCATTGTTACTATTGCTTTTGGTATTGTTATTCACAGTTCGTAATTGTTACTAACAAAAAATCGTTATGACCATCCTAAAAACCCTCCAAGCCCAAGCCGACTTCTTCTCCTTAATGTAGGAACCTGATAAAGAAACGCTGGGCCTATAACCCCAAAATAGTAGGATCCATATAAGGAACCCGAAGAAAGCCAAGGTTTCTTAATCAGGTTCCTACATCAAAACCCCCCCCAAAAAAAAAAAAAAACTATAGCACCCTTATAGACCCCTTTAAAGGAAGCCCTATAGATCCCTTTAAAGGAAGCCCTATAGATCCCAAAGTCTATAACCCCCATCTTCTTTTCCTTACCAAGGCCTTGCTTCCTTCGCTGGGCCTTTCTGCACCGGCTTCGGCGCAGGCCTTCGCCGCTGGGGCGGAGAGCCTGGGTTTAGGAATGTAGGATCAGGGTACTATCAGGGAATATATATATATATATATATATGGGAGTTTCCGAAAATTAGGAGCACCATGTTTGGGGGCCCTTGTAATAAGGATCCTACTATTTAGGGTGCTATATCGGGGAAATCAAGGGTGTTACAACGGTACCATAAGCATATATGAAGTGTTTGAAGTGTTTTTCCAGACCCCCAAAAGATTCCAAAAGTAGATCCCTTAAGGGGTGTTCCTATAAAGTACCCTTAGTAGTATAGGGCCCCAAATTAGGGGATTGAATCTACTTTCTTCTTTCGGGGGTCTGGTTTGGGATCTGGAGCTTAGGGAACCAGGGGCTTTGGAGATAGGCCACACGGGGCTCCGTATGCCAGGTAGTCCGCCTGCTTAGAGCAACCCTGAACCCTGAATCGGGGTTTAAACCCTATCCCAAACCCTAATAAACCCCTTAAAGCCTCAGCCCTTAACCCCGAAACAATCCTACTCCCTACCCGGAACCGAAACCGGCAACCCAAAACCCTTAAACCCTAAACCCCTAAACCCCTCAACCCTAAGCCCCTAGACCCCTCAACCCCTCAAACCCCTCAAACCCCTCAAACCCTAAACCCCTCAAGCCCCTAAACCCCTAGGCTTAGTGAGGCCGTGACTGCAGCCCTGGAGCCGGTACACAGAACTTCCAAAATCCGTTTAAGTAAGAAATATTCCGTAAATCACCTTAGGGATCCTACTAAATTTAAGATGAGGGATCCTACTAAATTTAAGATGAGGGATCCTACTAAATTTAAGATGAGGGATCCTACTAGAGTTTAAGGAATAGCCCTTTTTGAAGGGATTTTGGAGTCTCTGGGTAGGGTGGGGGCGGCTTTTCTCGAAGCAACAAGACCGGTTGTCAAGACGTTAGTATATACTAATGATGTGTAACATAGTACAATATAATATGAAGCAGCGCGATACAAGTTAATACAACCTTATACGGTATAACGCGATTGTGTGTATGTATATACATATATATATATATGTATATGTATACATATACATACATACATACATATATATATATATATAGTGTATATACGTTGGCCAGTTCCCGTTGCCACAGGTGAGTACGCTTCTCTCTGGTCAGAGGCCGGTCGCCTTCGCGTCAACTCGATTGGGCAGATTGAGATCCGGAACTTGGAGGTTCATGGGTAGTTATAAGGGCTCCTTTTAAGGGTCCCTTTAAATGGATCTATAGGGAATCTATAAGGGTATAGGGTTTTGGGTCTACTTGGAGGTTCATGGGTAGTTATAAGTAAGGTTATAAGTAGGTTGACTATACTTATAACCCATACAAGGGGACGTATAACCCTACTGATAAGTACCCACGAACCTCCAAGAAGACTTGCACCATGTCCCACACCTGCAGGGCAATGAACAGTTAGCAATAGTATACCCTTCTGGTCCCCCAATAGTTTCAGTATGTTATCATACCCTTCTAGCCCCCCAATAATTACGCTACACTAGTATACCCTTCCGGTTCTGCAATAATTACAGTGTATTATCCCCAACAATAGGGGACTCTAATATAGTACCCCAAATAGGAGGATCCTTATTATAAGGACCCCTAAATAAGATACCCCAAATTTTCTGAAACTCTAAGCCCTAAATGCTTTAGCCCTTCGAAGGAACCCTTATAGTTACTAGTATAGTAACAATTTAAAGGAACCCTAAGGTACCTTGAATTTTCGGAACCTCCCAAAGGAACCTTAAACCCTGAACCCTAAAACCCAAAAACCCTAAACCCTAAACCCTAAACCAACCAACCAACCTAAAACCTAAAACCCAAAAACCCTAAACGCATGACTCGAGATCCTTCGCAGGTCCTGGCTGCGGACGTCTTTGAGACTTTCAGCAAGGCGCCCCCTTGCAGAGCGAGGATTCTGTAAGGTAGGGTTGATGATACCCATAATGAGGAATATACCATAATTCCCATAGTTTAGGGTCCTTAAGGTAATGCAGGATTTATATCATCAACCGTAGAACAGGGGCCCTAACACTAGCCTATACTAGTTTTGGCGGGGTTCCTGACTATAACTAAAGTAGAGTATACCGCAGACGTATGTCCGATCCACCGCAAAACCCTATTCTAATTATTGAGGCCCCGAAATCAGAATCAATGTTCCCAGTTGCCGTAAGTGTTAGCTACGATGAGGCCGCAGCACCTGAGCGTACCTAAAGGCTCAGTCTAGGTAGGCTGAAAGAATGACGACTGATCGTACGGCGGCTAATTCAGGAGCAGACATAAAAGCTTGAATGCCAATCCCTTGCTAGGCCTCCAGATACGGCATGTGACCCCGCAACCATGCGCATGTCAAAATCACATGTACTGATTCCATGAATGTGACGGATGATGCCCATATATTAGACCCTGCTCTTCTGGGAGCCTTCTGATCAAGCTTCCTCAAGAAAGCTTGGCAATTCGCGAGCATCAAGGATCAAAACAGTAATCCTCACATCTAGGAGCTCCTGCAGAACCCATTTACCCCTTTCTGCTTCGGGGCCTCCTCCAGTGAAGCCATCACATCAATAGTCCTCATTAACCCTTGATCCCGTGTCCCGAAGCCCTTGTACCCACCTGAAGGCTTCTCTGAGTCTTGCTTCTTTTCCGGTGGTCTTCGCAAGAAGCGTTTGTTTTATCCACGGAGAGCCCTCCCAAAAGAAGCAACAGCCCTAAAACACTGAAACCCTAAACCCCTAAACCCTAAACCCCTAAACCCTAAACCCTAAACCCCTAAACCCCTAAACCCTAAAACCCGTGGATTTGGAGAGCTCCGGCTCCTGGGTGCTTGGCACAGGCCGCCCCCGAGGAGCTGCCGGAGCTGGGGCGGCGCTTCCGAGTGCCTTGGGATGTCCTAAAATTAGTGCCTTAGAAATTATAGCAGGGTTGATCGCAGTGTAAATACAGGCCTTAGTAATGATAATCGGGCTCAGAAGGTTTTGATATGAGTTTGAATACGGGCCTTAGCAATGATCATGGGGCTTAGAAGGTGTTGATATGAGCATAAATACGGGCCTTAGTAATTATAATTAGTAGGGTTTAGAAGGTGTTGATATGAGTAAAAATACGGGCCTGGGTAATGATAATGGTGTTTAGAAGGGTTTACAATACGGGCCTTAATAATTTTAGTAAGGTCTTGGTGTACATTTTGTGGCATAGTTCAAAAAGAGGGAGACCACAATATGAAAACTTCGAATGTTTAAGGACTGTGAGGGATTTTATGGGCTATTGACGGTTTGTTGGCTTTCCTTATAAGGTTCTGGTAAGGTCTTATGGAGGTTTCGGGTTCAACGAAAGAGGCCTGAATGAAATTGGACTTGGACTTTGGTGCATACTATTGTCTCGAAGCAGTAGGAGATACTGAGACGCTGGGCTACGATTGAAATTCAGGTCCGATATGGGAATATCCGAAATTAGGGGGCCCCAATATAGTACCCTAAATAGTAAGATCCTTTTTATAAGGACCCCAAAATAAGGTACCCCTAATTTTCGGAAACTCCCATATAAGCCCAATTTTAAGCCCTGTACACCTTCATGAAATCATATGAACCCGGTTGAAGAATCCCTATCCGTCTATCTATCGAACTACCCCATCCCATCCCATCACATCCATCCATTCATCCATTCATCTACTTGTCTAGACCCATGCAAAACTATGCTCTGAAGCTGCAAAAAGCCCTAATCTACATTTCAAGGCCACTACAGCACTATCGGAGGCGAAGAAACGGTAATAGTGGACTAGTGGACCTTTATAGTCCTTGTATGGCTTTATGACTATCCACAAAACCCGACTGTCATCTTCTGCAGAGGGCTTTAAAGAATCCGGCCAAGGCACCCTATTCTACCTCCTAAGGTCACAAGATAGCGCCCTCTAAAACCCTGTTAAGACCGTGCGGGAGGGACCCCCTATAAACCCTATGAAGCATCTAAAACCTCTAAAACCCGATAAACCGAGAATGAAGTAGCAAAACTTAAACAACCCAAAAACCTTGAAGTAAAGCCTTCTTAGACCCCTATGAAGCTCTATTGAAGACCCTTTAAAAGCCCAACAAACCTTTACCCGATAAACCTGCACATAAAAGCTTTGAGGTAGCCCCAACATGGGCACTGTAGGGCCCAAGTATACACCATAAACCCTAAACTACTGGAAAAGAAAAACTCTAAACCCTCAATACTAAACCCTTCCTAAACCCTGAACCCCTAAACCCTGAACCCTTAAACCCTAAACCCCTAAACCCCTCAACCCTAAACCTTAAACTTGCACATAAAACCTTCTTCGACCCCAGGAGGCCTTCCTGGAGCCCGGCGCCGGCAGAGCGCCGCTGACTGCCTTCCGCGACTTCCAGGGCCGAGTTCCCAAGGCGCCTTGTGTTTTTGCGAGAGTCAAAGGGGAAAGGAGGGACCCTTTAAAGGGTTACTATAATGGTAACTATAAGGGTTCCTTTAAAGGGTTACTATAGTAGTAACTATAAGAGTCAAAGGGGAAAAGGAGGGACCCTCAATGGCCTTACCCTATAATGGGCTATATAATGGGTATATAATAGCTATCTACCTAGGGGTCCTTATCAAGGGTCCCTCCTTTTTACCCTTGGAGAGAGTTCTGGCAGTTCAACTGGGAGTTTCCGAAATTTAGGGGTACCTTCTCTGGGGTCCTTATAATAATGACCCTACTATCTAGGGTGCTAGATTCAAGTCCCCTGTTTTCGGAAACTCCCGTAACTTTCGAAGTCAGACAGACATATAATGTTTGGAGCTTCGGAGGGTGCCAGGGGTAGGAGTGGGAGACTTCACTAAAAAAAACCCAGACCCCCCCTTTTGGAGGATCCAAAAAGTAGATCCCTTAAGGGGGGTTCCTTCCTTGGTAGTATAGGGCCCCAAATTAGGGGATCTACTTTCCCTTCTAGATCCCTAAACCCTAAAGGATCCCATAAAGGAGCCCTTCAAGGAACCCTACTAAGTAGAAGTCGTTTGGTCTAGGTGGGGCTATCGGGGGTCTGGGAAGACATGGGCTTGCTGGAGCAAGTTGGGAATTCAGATGGGAAAAGCTGCATCCGAAGTGTTCAGACCTGGAGTTGAGTCAGATTTGGTAGTTTCCAACAATTAGGTGTACCTTATTTAGAGGTCCTTATAATAAGGATCCTACTATTTTTAGGGTACTGTAGTAGGGTCAGATTTGGTTTTGAAGGATAGTTTGAGGATCATGGGACATAGTAACTAGGGTTCACTGCATTGGCAATCCGTCTCAGGCCAATGCATGTCCGTGTAAAGCTCTGTGTGAGGGATTGAGAGCCTACCCTTAGGGTTTAGGATTTAGGGGTTTAGGGCTTCAGGGTTGGGGGTTTAGGGCTTTAGGGTTGGGGGTTTAGGGATTTAGAGGTTGCGGGTTCAACTGTCGCAGAGGGTATCAGTAAAGGTTCAAGGCGGACGTCGGCGGCGGTGGGGCGAGCCCTCTACCTGTTCGTCAAAAACGCCGGTTGCATGCTGACTAAACTCTGTAACAATCGGATGGTTTGTATATTGCTGGCAGAGAAATTTCCCGCCTGGGGATCTTCTATAAAACAGTACCCAACGTTGTCATGATCATGGAATATTGGTACCATTGTGGTCATGTTCGTGTTTAGAGTTTAGAGCTACGAACTTGCACGGGGTCCTTGAAGGGGTTAGGTCTCCGAATACTCCCCGATGCCCCCACAAACCACCCAAACGTTCCATGAAGCCTGGCTCAAGCTATCATCATCCCTCCCGGGATTCACTTCCAGCCTTTGTCGTGGTTTGCAGCTCGCACGAGGCCTGGGTTTGCTCTGAACGTGGGTGGGGCCCATAATAAGGACTCAATTAGGCCCTATTTCAGGAATTTTAGTCCCCTACCCCCCTTATGAATCTGGCTGACCAAAGACTTCTAGCGCATTTTAAACATGGGAGCTCTGCACGTGCTTCCGTCGAAAGAACTACATCAACTCTTAAGTTGGATCACCCAATCCTCTTGGGCACCTATAGTCCCGACAATCTGACTGGTTAGCGCCACTATGTATGGTTTTTCTTGCAATGATTGATGTTTTTTGGTTGATACGTGATCTCTCACCCCTGCTTGGCAGCTTGTTGCGAAGGTGCTGTCATCTCACTTATGTCTTCCCAAAACCCCAAACCCAAACCCTTAAGAAACCCTAAGGCTCTTCATTCATTTGGGGCTTCGTGGAGGCTCCCTGCATATTCCTCGGCATGCCGAAGGAACCCCCGCGGGCTTGCGAGCAGAACAGGGCGGAGGGTTGAAGCAGTACAGTTTAGATGATGGACACAAATGCGACAGTATCCATAATATGGAAAAGAGCCCAATACTCCAACTCAGGTGGTAAAAGGATACCTGTAATGGGGGCCTCGACAGTTAGAACAGGTGTTCGGGATAAATTATGCTATCATGACACTTAGGTAGTATCACTAAGCATTCAAGAAGAAAAAACAGGCACCGAAAAGGCGGTCAATATCAATGGATCCATGCCTTCCTTCCCTATGTGGATAATCTCAGACCCAACTCTTAACCCTTCTAGCAACTTTGACAGACTCTGTGTAGTATCCTCAAAAGAGCCCTCAAAGTAGTTCCCCACAACCCTAAACCCCTCAACCCCAAATCCCCAACACCCGCCCCACTCGCCTCTGGGTAGATGAGAGGAAACATCCCCAGGATGCAGCCAAGGGAGATCCCTCGGCTTGGACCGGCCCCGGAAGGCTGAAGAGCCAACTAGAACACCTCAACTCGAAATTAAAAGGTCGGAACATTTTTGTGTGAGCTTGTCAATACCATGGGACCATTTGGGGGCTTGCGGCAAGGAGGAGTTTGACTTAGACATTCCCAGACTTGTAATGGTGCAAAATCGCACGGCCACACAATCTTGAAAACTAAACGCTAAACTTGGTCCTGAAGCCCCAACCACTTACTTGGAGGATAATGGGACTTAGTAAGTAAGGTTATAAGTACCCCAATTGGGGTTACAAGTACTTAAAACTATAGTTACCCTATCTATAACCCCAATTACTAAGTCCCATGATCCTCCAAGTAGTCCGGAACTTCAGGTCCATGGCTTACTTCCCAGTACCCGTCGTAGTCTTCCTGTCGCTGCTGGTGGCCGGCAGCGCGGTCCGCCGCGGGGACGAGGTCCTGGATGTCCGCCACGAAGATGCCGCCGAGATCCAGGACCCACACCCTCAAGCCTTCAACAGGTAAGTTCTGGGTTAGAGGGTTCAGTGGGTGTTGGCTTCATCCAGGGTTTAGGTGGGTTGCAACGTTGGGGCAACGGATATGGGTTTTGGGTGGGTTCGCGTGCCATACTCCAAAGTGGGTGACTTGTTGTGCGACTTTGTTGAGTAACGTTGTAAGTCGGGTCACCCCAATTATGGCGTCCCTACTAGGATGCTTGTATTTCTACCGACTTCACGTTTTACCTACTTGCGAAGTCCCCCGACCCCCTCAAAAGTCTTAGCCTTAGCCTGTAAACCCTAACACCCTCAACCCTGTCGGTCCCTTAAAGACCACTTATGGGATCCCTCATCATGTACAGATTCATGCCGTCAGGGGTGGTGTCCTACACCCTAAACCCTAAAAACCCCAAGCCCTGTCTGTTTAGGGTTTCGCTCGGGGTTTAGGGTTGTGGGCTTAGAGACGAAGGTTTAGGGTGTTGATGTATGGAAGATGCCTTAATCAAACGGTATTGGGCGATGAAAAACACAGACCTTGTGAAACCCTGCTTAGTACATGTTCCTTAGCTGGGAAGGATGCTTTCGACTTAGTAAGCAGGTTCTGGTAGAGGGTCATATGCAAGATATCCCCAGTTAGGGGCTGTTCAGTATTCTACTTATAAGCTGCTGAGCTCTTCAGCGTTTCCGGGGCTCTATAAATCCTCTACCCTTAAAATCACTATGCAGCCCCGTAACAGACGCTCCCTAGAGCCTAAAGCCTCAGCCGTAACCTTCATCTAAACTATACCTGAACCCTAAAGCCTCAGCCCTAAATCCGTGAACCCTACACCCAAAACCCTAAATCCTTAAACCCTTAGGGCTTAGACCCTTGACCCTTAAACCCTGAACCCCAAGCCCGCCCCTTCTTTGCCGTAAAACCCAGCTCGACTTAAACCCCGGCAATCCCCTAACCCCAAGCTCCACACCCTAATTTCAGAAATTTCTCAGGAGAACTTCACAGATATTCCGGAGCCAATCGTGGTGGAGAAGAAATTGAGCGACGAGAGCATTCGATTTCAGAAAAAAGTCATCATGAAATGCTGGCGGAAGATTGAAAATCCAGGTCCAAAGTTCGCCTCGTGCATCAAGGACTACATTGAAAACGAGTACAGAGGGTATTATTATGTCGTGATCTCAAAATGTGACATCTCTGGATTCGACACCAGAGCCTATGTCTTCGGAAAGTACGACTTTGGTGGCCTCACTGTCCTGATTTGGAACCTTGGCGTTCTTCTGGTTGGCTCTTTAGACTTTAACTTTTTGAGTCTCTATATGAACTATAACAAGGAGGCAAAAAGTTTAACTTTTAGGAGGGGTTCAGAAGTCAGCCAAGGAACATGTACAAAGTACCAGACCCAGGCTATTGATTCCCTCCCCGAGCTTTCGCCAGGGACCTGTTGGTACGTCGCGACGAAAAGAGCCATGGTTGGGGCTTGGGGCGCAAACATCTACACCATATTTACTAAACGGACTATACGTACTGTATTGTTGAAATGTATCTGTATGTACTATATGTAGGGTTCTTTGGAGGTTAAAGGGCCTCAAAAGTTTAGGGTTTTTGAGTTAGATCCTATGGTGCATATAGGGCTTGGTTTAGTATGGCTTACGGTGATTTACGGGTTATAGGGGTGAGAGGCGCTTTCGGCGTTTAGGGTTACTCACGTTCTTTCGGGGTTAGAGGGCTTAGGGCGCTTACAGGGCTTATAGGGTTCATAGTTCTTCGGGACTTTAGGGCATAAAAAGTTTATAGTGGTTAGGGCTTTAGGGTTGGGTTAGTAGTAGTAGAGTAGGGAACCTTTAACTTTTTTTGGGTAGTATAGTCCTTATATAACCCCTATATAACCAAAAAGGTTAACCTTTAGTTTCCCATGATACCCGACAAGTAGGGTGATGTTTATCAAAGGGGAAAAGGAGGGACCCTTAATAAGGACCCCTGGGTATATACCCTTAATACAGCTGTCATATACCCATTATATAGCCCATTATAGGGTAGAGGTCCCCATTAAGGGTCCCTCCTTTTCCCCTTTGAGTTTCGGAGCTTATAGGACTTGTGGGGCTTACAGGGCTTAGAGGGCTTACAGGGTTTGGGGTTCGTGAGGTTTCGAGGGCTTCCGGAGGCTTACGGGGTTTATTGTTCATTAGGGGTTGAGGGTTTCAGGGTTTAGGGTTTTAGGGTCTAGTGGCTTAGGATTTATAGGTTTAGGGTTGCTGGTTTAGGTTGTAGAGGGTTAAAGGTTTAGCATTCAGGTTGGTTTTGGGTTTTAGGTTCTTATAGAGTCCTTTGCATGTTTTCGCTAAGGGGGCCTTAAGAACAAGAAGAGGGTTTTGGCGTAGATGACACTAGCTATATGCAGAGAAATGGTTAGAGTCTTGTAGGGTGCGTACAGGTATCTTAGAGGGTTCGTATATTGGCGCTGCTTTAGGACGTCTGGTTAGTTGAGGATTTTGGGTTAACTTTAGGGTTGCTTTACAACTTTACATTTACGGGGTTCTTACAGGGTGCTGATATAAATTCATGTAGCTCGTATTTACCATAAATGTAACGGGTGTTCGTTGGTCCAATATTGGCCTGAACAGCCTCCCCGGGAGCCCAGCCCCTTTCGGGTTGAGGGTGGACCCGATTCCCCCAACTCCATCCGGCGCAAGCTGCTTGAAACCTGTGCCAGGCAAACTTTTTCCAATCGACCCCCCATCCGCCTTCTGTCCAAATCCCTGAACCCCTTTACCAGGTTGTCCGAATCCCCCGCGTGCTTAATATGGTTTGCAGTATGTTCCCGAATACACAGGGCGTCTCTTCGTCCAGGTGCTAAATCCCTAACACCCTAGATCTTTCATTCCTACACCCTAAAACACCAAACCCGGAAAATTGTAAAGCCCTCAACACCTAAAGCCCTGAGCCCCCAAACTTCCAAGGCCATAAAACCTAAGCGCCAAAGCCTGAACCCCAAAACCCCAAGGCCCTAAAACCTGAAACCCATCAACACCCCTGAAACCCTACACCCCAAAGCCCTAATACCCTAATTTGGGTTATAAGTAATTCTAACTATAGTTACCCTATGTATAACCCCAATTACTAAGTCCCATGATCCTTTAAATAGACCCGAAACCCCATAGATACCTTTAAGGAACCCTTATAGATCCCTTTAAGGAGCCCTTTAAAGCTACTAAGTCCCATGATCCTCCAAGTACAGCCCACCTCAAGGTGGTCCCCTAGGTATATACCTTGAATATAGCTATTATATAGCCCATTATAGGGTATGGGGTCCCCTTAATCGTCTTTTTCCCCTTTGATAAAGCCCAGAGACTCCAATACCCCTTAATTAAGGAATATTCCTTAAATTAGATTAAGGATCCTACTATAATTGAAGGTATATTCCTTAATTGAGGGGTATTGGAGTCTCTGGGAAGCCCAGCCAGGTGGTCCCACTACTCCGACGTTTGAAGCTCCAGGGCTCCTCGAGCTGACCGCGTCCAACCAAAAAAGTGGGGAGTTTCCGAATAATTCGGGGTACCTTCGTTTAGGGTGGCTATAATTTGGGGTTTAGGATTTAGGGGTTTCCGAAAATAGGGGACCCGAAAATGGTACCCTAAATACTAGGATCCTTATTATGAGGACCCCAAAATAAGGTACCCCTACTTTTCGGAAACTCCCAGATGGGCCTGAATGATTGCATTTCCTATTGCGGGAGGGGGGGGTGTTCTTCAATATGAGCATAGTATGGTCCTTATTGGTTCTTCAATATCAGCATAGTATGGTCCCTATTACAAATGTAGTATAACCAATGTACCCGAAACCCTATTCGAATTCCTAAGGCCCCTACATTACCGAAGCCTTTTGGGAGTTAGGGTGTTTTACTGTAAGGGGTTCTATAAACGAGGGTGTTTAAAGCGTTTGGGTTTTCGGGCGGCTTCAACAGGGTGGTTGTCAAAACTATGGTCCCTTTCTGGGTCCCTAATATAATACGGCACCTAATATTTAGGGTACCCAAGAAGGAACCATAATATTTTCAACTACCCAACAAGTCTTCTACGATGGGGTTCGATATTGAGGCGTGTTTGTAGGGCTTTCGGAATAATTAATTACCAAGATGCTCGCCCGGCTTCCGTACAGATACTACAATGCTCCCCGAAAGCCTTGTTCCAATTATTAGGGACCCTATCGTACAGAGATCGGTTATTTCGCTGCTGGGGCTCCTGGCTATAACTGTACGCGAATGCCCAAAACCCTATGTACATCATTGAGGACCCAACATGAAATGCACGGGCATGACTTAAAGTGAGGGACCCACACACCTTAAAGGATCAACAAAATGTAGCCCCAATTGAAAAAGCCTCTGCTAGGCCTTATAGTGGTAGGAAGCAGGTTGAAGTGATTAGGTGAGGAGACAAGTGATGGCCCTGGTCTTGTAATTCTGGGGGCAGGGTTTTGGATCTTGCGCAAGATACCCCGCGCGCTACATGACCTGCTCCCAACGAGTTGCCGTGTTTAGAAACTGGCGGTGCCTTGGTAAGGGGTCCTTCCAACAAGGATGCTATTGTTTGAAGTTTCTTTTGGGGAAACTCCCACCTCTCCCGAAGAAATGAATCCACGTGCCTGAGAGACCCATACTCCTTAAGTAAGCAATATACCCTCAGCTATATAGGGGCCCTCATTATGGTTCAATGAGATATATTTCCCAGCCTTGTTTGAGGCTTTTAAGCAAATGCAGAGCCGTGTTGGCTCCTCCCCGAGGTTCCTCAGCGGTACCTTTTTGTTCTTTTGATTCTAGTCTAGGTCCCCTTTATCAAAGCTGAATACCAGGAAGAATGGTACCCTGGTCATTAAGGGGACAGACACTGGAGAACCTGATCCCCAACGAGCCTCTCAGCACATGTGCCGCCACCGATCAGCGCGAGAAATCCCAAATCTGGTGCTGCCGGGATGCTCAGTTCACACTGCCGCATGCCGGATCCCGGAAAGATGTCAAGAATAGAACCCCAAAGAGGTACTAAAACTACTACTACGACTACTACTAGTCTACCACTATATGTGTTTAAGTCGGCCCTTCTGGGGTGTTCTTTTTGAGATCCTTGGGTGATGAAAGTTTTTGGCGTCGGCGATGCTGCACGCACCCTTACCCCTAATTTTCGGAAACTCTAAAATAAACCCTTATGGAGCCCTCTAAAGGAACCCTTACAGTAACCCTTATAGTATCCCTTTAAAGGAACCCTCTCTGCAAACCCAGCACTCGAAGCCCACACCCTTCAAAGGTTCACCGGCTCAAGGCTTACTTAGAGGATCATGGGACTTAGTAACTTTAAAGGGCTCCTTAAAGGGATCTATAAGGGTTCCTTAAAGGTATCTATGGGGTTTCGGGTCTATTTAAAGGATCATGGGACTTAGAAAGTAAGGGGCTCCTTAAAGGGATCTTTAGGGTTCCTTAAAGGGATCTATAGGGTTTAGTTTAAAGTTTAGGGTCTACTTGGAGGATCATGGGACTTAGTAAGTAAGGTTATAAGTACCCTAATTGGGGTTATAAGTAATTATAAGCATAGTTACCTTATTTATAACCCTAGTTACTAGGTCCCATGATCCTCCGAGTAGGGTTCACAACTCTCGGGCTCACTTTCTTGGTGCTCTTGCGAAAGGTCCCCGCATAGGACTTCAATACAGCTCATCGGGAAACCAAGAGGAGCACTAGTAATGATTTCAAGTTGGCTGTCATTGCAGTGCCAATGACCGCGGCGCGGAATCAGAAAGAAGGGGGAAGAACGGAGGGAGTGTTCCTCATCCTGATCCTGATCGAGTTAGGCCATTGGGAATGTTAGTTTCCCTTTTGGGTTCACGGGATCCTAGTTAGGAATGTTGTTCGGAGGTGACGAATCTGAGATATCAACGATTGAGGCTTTGATGATGAAGGACGAGAGAAGCCGAGTGTAAGTTTTCGTGGACGGACTTGTCTCAAGGTCTGAAACCCCAAGCCCCAAGCGTCTAAATCTAAGCCCTAAGACCCTCGAACCCGAAACAAACCTCTTTCTTCGTTGTGCGCTTTCAAGCGCCATTCCGAGGTGCTGGAAGTGGCACGGCAACTCGCTGCCAGGCTACATTTGAATCCAAGGACGCTTGGGGCTTCGGACGAATATAGCATACTATAGGAGCTGTAATAATTACCAATACTATTTGGGGGGGTTCCTTGTTATAACTAAATTATATTGGGCACCAAAGCCCTGTTCTAATTGTTAAGGCCCCTACATTAGCATAGTACAGTGTATTATACTTCGTAGCTGAGTGGATACACTTTACACTTTTTTGTGATAATATTACCCACTAGAAAAGTGAAAGTGTACACTTATGGGGGGGCTTATGAACTCAGCAACTAAGTATAGTACAGTATAGTATAGTTTCCCTTATAGTAACCCTTAGAGACCCCTTTAAAGGAACCCTACTCTAATTCTTAGGGCCCCTATAATAGACCCCTTTAAAGGAACCCTATTCTAGTTCTTAAGGCCCCTATAAAATAGTACAGTATAGTATTGTTTATCAGGCTACGAGCTTCCAGGGGGTGCCGTTGCAAAGTATAGCTGCGTATGTTGTGGGGTATTAGGGTAAGTTACAGCAGATTGCAGTGGGTTTAGGGTTTAGGGTATAGTATAGCAATAGTATATTCTAGTATTTTGAAGGACTAAAGCCAAGCTCCAACTTCATCAGTCCAGCATAGAGGCTCGAAGAATTAGCAACTGTATTCCCTACAGACTCCATATTATGGCGAATCTGTCCTGGAGTTGTTGAGTTCGTCTCCGGCCTCAAGGATGTAGACTTCTGAGCTCTCCGACGCTTGGAGAGCGGGGGCTTAGAGATGCGTGGCGCTGTCACCGGGTTCAGGGTTTTGAGATTTGAGGGCCCCAAAGCAGATGGGGCTTATGTATGGACTTGTTGAGATAGTCGGAAGCTTAATGGACCTAGCAAGTACTGTAATAATTACCAATACTATTGTGGTGGGGTCCTTGTGAGATTTTTTGCTATAATGGTCCCAAATGCCCTGTTCTAATTATTAAGGGCCCTGTGTTAGGCATTCACCAGAGGTGTGAGTACCATACCTTACTTAGAAGCCACTTGCTAAGTCGCTTAGATCCTTCAGGGATCGGCCTCCAACAGAAAGGAAAAAAAGCGAGCCCTAGTCAGGACAAGGGGCCTTGTCGGAAAGGCTTGCACGAGAAACCTGTGTTTTGAAAGTGAGCCTTCACAGTATCGAAGAAACAAGTTTGTCACGTTTGCGCAGCAGATTGGCCCGATAGGAGCATGGACTTGCTGTGGGAAGAGGATTCCTGAGGGAGGCGAGCAGTTGCACACATGTGCTATTCTGTGAAACGAAGTGATGGTGATGATGAGGGTTATGATGACGACGACGACGGAAGGTTCTGGTGCCAAAGCTACCGGTGGTGGTGATGAAGCTGACGATCGTGGTGATGATGATGATGATGATGAGGATGAGGATGAGGAAGAGGAGGAGGAGGAGGATCATCATCATAATTATCGGCATGACGGTACTTACAACGACCAGGGCGATGGTGATGATGCTGCAGGTGGCTATGGTCCTGCGGCTGATGGTAATGCTGATGACGATGATGCTGATTATGGCGAAGACGATAATAACAGTCGTAGTTGTGATCCGCGCTCCGATTGTTGCTCTTCACGAGTGCAGAAGGCATGCAAACCGAACGGCTGAAACTGATGCTGCAGCCTTTTATTTTCAGTTTTCCCGTGTTCTTCGAGCCTTCGAACGAGCCATGCCTTCCAAGGGTTGCGCAGTGGCCCTCGCCGGCGTGGGCGCTTACGCCGCCGCCCAGGCTTTCGTGGCCCCGACTGCCCCACAGGTGCAGGAGCAGCGCCAGGTGCGCCAGCTGAGGCAGCAGGCCACCGCAAGCGCGACCTCCACCACTTCCTCAGCGGCTGCCCTGGCTCTGGGCGCGGCTGGTGTCGCCGCGGCCGCCGCACAGGCCGGCAAGCGAACTCAGCGCCGATGCCAAGTCGTCCGCCAGGCCACGGCGGTTGCTGAGAAGACCTTCACCAAGATGCCAGCATCCGTGAAGCCCGGCGTCGTCACCGGTCAGGCTCTGGTGGACCTGCTGAACTACGCCAAGGAGAACGAGTTCGCGATTCCGGGAGTGAACGTGGTGAGCAGCAGCTCCATCAACGCGTGCATGGAGGCCGCCAAGAAGGCCGGCGGTCCCATCATGGTCACTTTCTCAAAGGGAGGCGGCCAGTTCATCGCCGGAAAGGCAGCTGACAACTCAGACGATGCCGCCTCCATCGCCGGCACCGTGGCTGGCGCCCTCCATGTTCGCCAGGTGGCCAAGCTCTACGGTGTGCCTGTGATCCTGCACACTGACCACTGCCAGAAGGCTTGGCTTCCTTGGTTCGACGGACTCATGGAGGCCAACGAGGAGTATTTCGAGAAGAACGGAGAGCCCTTGTTCTCTTCCCACATGTTGGATCTCTCCGAGGAGCCTCTGGAGGAGAACATCAGCATCTGCAAGAAGTACTTGGAGCGCATGTCCAAGGTGGATCTGCTCTTGGAGATGGAGCTAGGCGTGACTGGCGGTGAGGAAGACGGCGTGGACAACACTGATGTGGACTCCTCCAGGCTTTACACCCAGCCTGAGGAGGTGTGGCAGGTCTACGAGACCTTGTCTGCCGTGCCCAACGGCAAGTTCACCGTGGCAGCCGCCTTTGGCAACGTCCACGGCGTCTATGCCCCTGGCAACGTGAGCCTGAAACCAGTGATCCTGCACAACACCCAGAAGTTCATCAAGGAGAAGCTTGGCACCGACGACGACAAGCCGGTGTCTTTCGTGTTCCACGGAGGCTCAGGCTCTTCCTTGGAGGATATCCGCTATGCCATCGAGGCTGGCGTCATCAAGATGAACATCGACACCGAGTCCAGGCTTTTCTCGTTGTAGAGTTTGAGGGTTTGCTTCGAAAGTCTTTGCTGTGTTGGGGTTTCCTTTGATGTAAACCCTCGCCCCAGCACGGCCGAGGACACTCAGTGGGCCTTCTGGGACGGCATGAACGAGTACCAGAAGAAGAACAAGGACTACCTTCAGGGCCAGATCGGCAACCCAGAGGGAGCAGAGAAGCCCAACAAGAAGTACTACGACCCTCGCATGTCCCTCCGAGCGGGTGAGGAGACGATGGCAGACCGCTTGGTGAAGTGCATGGAGGACTTGAAGTGCATCGACCGTCTGTAGATGTCGCCGCCCAAACAAGAACAGGTAGCCAGAGCAGATTGCCAAAGGCAACATCCGACATCAGGAGATGTCCGAAGTTTTCCGAGTGTTAGAGAGTTACATGGCCCCCAGCTTGTCCCGTGAGCCATTTTAACCCCAGCAAGGTCTGGGTAGCAACACGTAGAGACGTTCGCCGTTCGGGCTGCAAAGAGAAGCGTCACAGTGGACGATGCAGCATGGGAGGTCTGTCGCAATGATCGCAATGAATCCAGTCCTGCAGCCTTTTGTTTTCAGTTTTCCCGTGTTCTTCGAGCCTTCGAACGAGCCATGCCTTCCAAGGGTTGCGCAGTGGCCCTCGCCGGCGTGGGCGCTTACGCCGCCGCCCAGGCTTTCGTGGCCCCGACTGCCCCACAGGTGCAGGAGCAGCGCCAGGTGCGCCAGCTGAGGCAGCAGGCCACCGCAAGCGCGACCTCCACCACTTCCTCAGCGGCTGCCCTGGCTCTGGGCGCGGCTGGTGTCGCCGCGGCCGCCGCACAGGCCGGCAAGCGAACTCAGCGCCGATGCCAAGTCGTCCGCCAGGCCACGGCGGTTGCTGAGAAGACCTTCACCAAGATGCCAGCATCCGTGAAGCCCGGCGTCGTCACCGGTCAGGCTCTGGTGGACCTGCTGAACTACGCCAAGGAGAACGAGTTCGCGATTCCGGGAGTGAACGTGGTGAGCAGCAGCTCCATCAACGCGTGCATGGAGGCCGCCAAGAAGGCCGGCGGTCCCATCATGGTCACTTTCTCAAAGGGAGGCGGCCAGTTCATCGCCGGAAAGGCAGCTGACAACTCAGACGATGCCGCCTCCATCGCCGGCACCGTGGCTGGCGCCCTCCATGTTCGCCAGGTGGCCAAGCTCTACGGTGTGCCTGTGATCCTGCACACTGACCACTGCCAGAAGGCTTGGCTTCCTTGGTTCGACGGACTCATGGAGGCCAACGAGGAGTATTTCGAGAAGAACGGAGAGCCCTTGTTCTCTTCCCACATGTTGGATCTCTCCGAGGAGCCTCTGGAGGAGAACATCAGCATCTGCAAGAAGTACTTGGAGCGCATGTCCAAGGTGGATCTGCTCTTGGAGATGGAGCTAGGCGTGACTGGCGGTGAGGAAGACGGCGTGGACAACACTGATGTTGACTCCTCCAGGCTTTACACCCAGCCTGAGGAGGTGTGGCAGGTCTACGAGACCTTGTCTGCCGTGCCCAACGGCAAGTTCACCGTGGCAGCCGCCTTTGGCAACGTCCACGGCGTCTATGCCCCTGGCAATGTGAGCCTGAAACCAGTGATCCTGCACAACACCCAGAAGTTCATCAAGGAGAAGCTTGGCACCGACGACGACAAGCCGGTGTCTTTCGTGTTCCACGGAGGCTCAGGCTCTTCCTTGGAGGATATCCGCTATGCCATCGAGGCTGGCGTCATCAAGATGAACATCGACACCGAGTCCAGGCTTTTCTCGTTGTAGAGTTTGAGGGTCTGCTTCGAAAGTCTTTGCTGTGTTGGGGTTTCCTTTGATGTAAACCCTCGCCCCAGCACGGCCGAGGACACTCAGTGGGCCTTCTGGGACGGCATGAACGAGTACCAGAAGAAGAACAAGGACTACCTTCAGGGCCAGATCGGCAACCCAGAGGGAGCAGAGAAGCCCAACAAGAAGTACTACGACCCTCGCATGTCCCTCCGAGCGGGTGAGGAGACGATGGCAGACCGCTTGGTGAAGTGCATGGAGGACTTGAAGTGCATCGACCGTCTGTAGATGTCGCCGCCCAAACAAGAACAGGTAGCCAGAGCAGATTGCCAAAGGCAACATCCGACATCAGGAGATGTCCGAAGTTTTCCGAGTGTTAGAGAGTTACATGGCCCCCAGGTTGTCCCGTGAGCCATTTTAACCCCAGCAAGGTCTGGGTAGCAACACGTAGAGACGTTCGCCGTTCGGGCTGCAAAGAGAAGCGTCACAGTGGACGATGCAGCATGGGAGGTCTGTCGCAATGGTCGCAATGAATCCAGTCCTGCAGCCTTTTGTTTTCAGTTTTCCCGTGTTCTTCGAGCCTTCGAACGAGCCATGCCTTCCAAGGGTTGCGCAGTGGCCCTCGCCGGCGTGGGCGCTTACGCCGCCGCCCAGGCTTTCGTGGCCCCGACTGCCCCACAGGTGCAGGAGCAGCGCCAGGTGCGCCAGCTGAGGCAGCAGGCCACCGCAAGCGCGACCTCCACCACTTCCTCAGCGGCTGCCCTGGCTCTGGGCGCGGCTGGTGTCGCCGCGGCCGCCGCACAGGCCGGCAAGCGAACTCAGCGCCGATGCCAAGTCGTCCGCCAGGCCACGGCGGTTGCTGAGAAGACCTTCACCAAGATGCCAGCATCCGTGAAGCCCGGCGTCGTCACCGGTCAGGCTCTGGTGGACCTGCTGAACTACGCCAAGGAGAACGAGTTCGCGATTCCGGGAGTGAACGTGGTGAGCAGCAGCTCCATCAACGCGTGCATGGAGGCCGCCAAGAAGGCCGGCGGTCCCATCATGGTCACTTTCTCAAAGGGAGGCGGCCAGTTCATCGCCGGAAAGGCAGCTGACAACTCAGACGATGCCGCCTCCATCGCCGGCACCGTGGCTGGCGCCCTCCATGTTCGCCAGGTGGCCAAGCTCTACGGTGTGCCTGTGATCCTGCACACTGACCACTGCCAGAAGGCTTGGCTTCCTTGGTTCGACGGACTCATGGAGGCCAACGAGGAGTATTTCGAGAAGAACGGAGAGCCCTTGTTCTCTTCCCACATGTTGGATCTCTCCGAGGAGCCTCTGGAGGAGAACATCAGCATCTGCAAGAAGTACTTGGAGCGCATGTCCAAGGTGGATCTGCTCTTGGAGATGGAGCTAGGCGTGACTGGCGGTGAGGAAGACGGCGTGGACAACACTGATGTTGACTCCTCCAGGCTTTACACCCAGCCTGAGGAGGTGTGGCAGGTCTACGAGACCTTGTCTGCCGTGCCCAACGGCAAGTTCACCGTGGCAGCCGCCTTTGGCAACGTCCACGGCGTCTATGCCCCTGGCAACGTGAGCCTGAAACCAGTGATCCTGCACAACACCCAGAAGTTCATCAAGGAGAAGCTTGGCGTCGACGACGACAAGCCGGTGTCTTTCGTGTTCCACGGAGGCTCAGGCTCTTCCTTGGAGGATATCCGCTATGCCATCGAGGCTGGCGTCATCAAGATGAACATCGACACCGAGTCCAGGCTTTTCTCGTTGTAGAGTTTGAGGGTTTGCTTCGAAAGTCCTTGCTGTGTTGAGGTTTCCTTTGATGTAAACCCTCGCCCCAGCACGGCCGAGGACACTCAGTGGGCCTTCTGGGACGGCATGAACGAGTACCAGAAGAAGAACAAGGACTACCTTCAGGGCCAGATCGGCAACCCAGAGGGAGCAGAGAAGCCCAACAAGAAGTACTACGACCCTCGCATGTCCCTCCGAGCGGGTGAGGAGACGATGGCAGACCGCTTGGTGAAGTGCATGGAGGACTTGAAGTGCATCGACCGTCTGTAGATGTCGCCGCCCAAACAAGAACAGGTAGCCAGAGCAGATTGCCAAAGGCAACATCCGACATCAGGAGATGTCCGAAGTTTTCCGAGTGTTAGAGAGTTACATGGCCCCCAGGTTGTCCTGTGAGCCATTTTGACCCCAGCAAGGTCTGGGAAGAAACAAGTAGAAGCGTTCGCCGTTCGGGCTGCAAAGAGAAGCGTCAGCGTAGACGATGCTGCGTGGGAATTGCGCAAGAGAAGCCTCGAAATAGTCGGTTGCTAGGGCCATAGACATAGACTTTATTGTCCGAGGTGTCAACAAATCATTACGTATACCATCAAGGCACTTCGAATCCACGGCTACCCTAAGAAGCAGAGAAACCCTTTCAAGTGGCCTGGTTCTTGTTTAAGCGAGAACGTAACTATGAGCTTAAGCTAAATTCGTTTCAGAGGAACCCTCGAATGCGTCCGGTCAAAAGCCTCCCAGTAGTTTTTTCAATCTGCCCATGCGTCCAGGACCCTGAAGCCCCACTCTACTTACTCTGGCCAGGGTGCGCTCCTCCTGCTGCGGCTGAACGCAAAGCCACGTCACTGAAGTCCTGCGAAAAAGGAAGTGTTCAGGCGTGTCGATGGTGCGTGGCTCCATTTTGAACTGGCCCCGATGGGCTTGATCCACTGTTTGTAGGGGTATCTTGCAGGGATCTAGTTTACAAAATTGTCTTTGGCAAAGAAGGGAGAAAATCTTCAAATCAGAGTGAGAATTTGGTGCTTCCCGGGACCCCTGCAATTGCGAAAGGTGTTTGGATATTGTGGCAGAGCTTTCTGACACGAATGAATGCCCTCAACCCCAAATCTTACTTTTGTGTCTTGAATCATCGTAAGCCCTTGGCATAACCAGTCTCTGACCGGCATCCACCTCCTACTTGGTGCTTCCTGTGGCTCAAACTGCCGCCTCCACACATCGCGCTCTCGTGCGGCTGGAAATCGCAGACACTGGTGCTGGTGGGAAGCCCGGCACTGGTTAGTAGAGCGCATCGCGACTTCCATCGTGAGAACTTGGGTAGTGTTGTAGGGGCACTGTGTAAAGAGGATTTACGGCTCAGGCTGCTGCCGAGCAAGACGCAATCGCTGGAAAGCGTGGCTGATTGCTGCAATTCGATCTTGAGTCCAAGGACAGAGATCTCATGGCATCTTAGAATCTGGGTTTGCCCTAAACCCCGAGCCCTGGAAACCCTAAACCTCCCCTAAACCAGGAAACGCCTCAACCTTGCTTCGGGCGTTTGAGGCAGTCAGGACTTGTTGAAAGGCACGGCTCCAGGCGCAAGGCTCTTCGTTGAAGACACACTTGGAGGATCGGGGGGCTTCGTAAGTACGATTATAAGTACCTTAATTGGGGTAGTAGTTATAGCTATAGTTACCCTATTTGTAACCCTAATTACTAAGTCCCATGATCCTCCAAGCAAGCGTAAAGCATGCTGAGCCCTCGGCAGTGTCTACCGGAGCCCATCCACGCATAGTCTGTTCACGAGTACAGTAGAATGCAATATAGTGGAATATGATTCCAGCTCATATCACATGATATGTGTATATACGTACACAGATTTTTACATATTATGCATGTCTTTGAATACATTAAGCTCTCTACCCTGAGCAAAACAAACTTTCGTCCATCAGCAGTATGCTGATCTGCATATCGTCGTCGTCTTGCATCATAACCCGCAAGCCTGCAGACCCCCGATAACCCCACCGACACCAAACGACTTCTACTTAGTAGGGTTCCTTAAAGGGCTCCTTTATGGGATCCTTTAGGGTTTAGGGATCTAGAAGGGAAAGTAGATCCCCTAATTTGGGACCCTTTGCTACTAAGGGTACTTTATAGGAATCCCCATTACGGGATCTACTTTTTGGATCCTCCAAAGGGGGTCTGGGTATGAAAGCCTGAATACTTACTGTACCATTCTTATGTCTTAAGGGTTCCCTAGTGTAGCTATATCATAGGATACCCCAAATTCCCTACTCTAAATATTCAGACCCCTTTTTCTGAAACTTTTCTCAGGGCCCTTCACAACAGTTCGTTGTCCCAGCCCAGGATATAGCCAACTAGCAGATGCCTCAAGTCCTAACGCTGATGCTCAAACCTCGGTCAAACGCTCAGTACAATCTATATAAAAAGTAAGAACAATAATAAGACTAAATCTGCCAGTAACAGCAAGAATAATAGCAAGAATTCTTATTCGGATTATTGCTATATGTGCGGTTGTCAAAATTAGGATCCCTTTGTGGGTACCCTAAATAATAGGTGCCGTGTACTATTAAGGACCCAAAAAGGGACCCCAATTTTGACAACCACCCATATACTAGCTTTGCAAGAAGTTGCTTGTCGCAGGAGCCTCAGGATGGACGTGTCCTTCCCGAAGAAGCCTGCTGCGCCCAGGGTCGCTTGGGCGGAGACACGGACGAGCTCCAAACCCTAAGCCCTGAATCCGTTGAGGGTTTTTTGGGGGGGTTCAAGGATTCAGGGTTGAGGGATTAAAGTGTAGGGCTTAGGGGTTTAGGGGCTTTGGGGTTTAGTTTCATACTTGGTCCGCAAAGTTTGTGATCTTACACAAACACGGTGGTAGCACTGTGGAGTTCGGTGATAGCTCGCCGGGAGGTGGAAGTGCATTGGGCAGGCAGAAGGGGGGCGCATCCTAAAATCCGCCCGGCACGCGGCAGGAGCACGATTGACCCCTTCAGAAAGCGGTACCGTAAGGGCCTAAATGTGTTACCACTACTGTTCTGGTGGTTCCTTTGATAATTATACTATAATGGGCCCCAGAAAACCCTTTTCTAAGTCTTCAGGCCCCTATATTGGTTCGAGACCACAACAAGGAGCCCCTGCTTCGAGCGAAGAAGGCCACATTCAGCGCAACCCCCGACAGCGCACAAAACTGTGGCGTCCGGGCCACTCAATAAGTTCGGGAGTGGCAAAGTGAATAACCGACCGGTACACTATCTTCTACTAGTTTATACTCTACTCTACTCTATTATACTCTTTTGTTGCGATAATTAGTAGTGAATTCGGCGTCATCGACGAACGCGACCAGCGGGGAACTCTGGAAAGCACGCGTGCGTCCCTGTGATGGTTGCCACATGTTTCTCGCAACTACTCCAGGCATCGTGCAACGCCTACTCCGCAAGCCGATGGGCCGTCCTGGCCAATTATTTCGCATAGTGGGGTAGTAGGGTTTACGGCTTTGGGCTGTGCGGTTTGCGATACCAGAGTTTGAGGGGTTCAGCGCTGTCTTGCATGGAGTTTCTTGCAGGATGGGGCACCGAAGTGGGTTTCTAATACTGGTTAACGGGGCCGTCATGTGAAGGTTGGAGTGCGCTGGTTCAGATCAGCCTTGCTTGATTGGCTGTCTCGCCTGATGGTGGTTGACCCTCACATGGGAGGTATCGTCCACCTCAGTGCACAGCTTGATTGCATCGCTTGAGTTTGCCAGAAAAGCGTAGGCAGTTCACTGCTAGCATCTGTAAAATCGAGGTGTGATCGCGCTTTCAGGTGGGTTGCAGCGTGGATCAGTAGGGGAGTACAGACCTGAACCTGCTTCCCTCGATAGGTGTTGCGTTCGGGATCCTTAAATTAAGACCCTCACGGAAGCGGCTTCAATAGTGAATCGTCTACATCAATAAGCTGCCTGATTCTACAAGTGCCGGACCAGTACATATCATACGTTTTACAGCATACATTATATATATATATATATACATATATCACTTTTAATACCTCCTATACAGTTTATGTCATATGCTATGTTTATACGTGTATGTGTGTGTATATATATATATATATATACATAGGTAGATTTAGATATAGAGAAAGACCAATGTGCATATCGTTATCTATAACTGTATACCTAGTATGTCCGTTATATCCACTCCTCCTCCCGTCAAGCACAAGCGATCCCAACATGAGCAGGTGCGCAGTTTCTTAGGGCCCCCGAGAGCCCAAAGCCCTGCTTGCAATCTGCTATTGGAATTCCTGCAGGTGCGGGGTAAACAACACTTCCGGACCTCAAACGCGGCTTGTAGGAGCCCTACATTGTAAGCCCTTATAGACTAGGCTACCCTGTAGTACCCTTATTCCCTTTTGTAGTCCTAGGTTCCCTATAAAGTTACCCAATACCAAAAAGAAGGCCCTTTTTGTTCCTAGGTTCCTGGGCATCCCCTAGTAGAGGGTTTGAGGGAACCCTTCAAGATCCTTGCAAAGCCTCCAAGCAGGCACCGCGACCTCCAGCTCCGGGACCGTCCCGGCCACTCGACAAAACTGGGTCAATCACTGCATGTGGGCCCCAAACCAATTTTAAATGAGGCGCCACATAGGGTTCAAAAAGGCTCTATACAGGTGGAAGTAAATAGGAGCTTAAAGGAGGCACAACAAAAGGCTCTTTTAATCCTGGGACCACGAACGAGATCTTGATCCCGAAGTCCTGTCCTGAAAGCCCGAAGGTTTGAATTTTACCAAAGGCCTACACTCTTAGGGCTCCTTATGATGGCTCCTCTTAACCCGAAACCCTCACCCTCCCTCATAGTTATCACAGCACTCCTTACAAGGTAAAGCTTTCTGCTAGACCTTGGATCGCTGAAGCGGACTAGTAGTGAAGGGCAAAACTTAGGAGACCTTAAGAAAGAAAACCAGTATTATTTGCCCCCAAACCCTTTTCAACTTTTGCAGGCTTTTATATTGAAAGGGTCCCATGATAGGTCTTATATAATACGGGTTCAGTGTGTTCTTCGGTTTCTGAAGGCTTTGCAGCGTTTTTATAAGGGTGTTTCTGGGCCTGGGTCCGAAGCCTCGTTCAAGCAAGCCTTCAAGTTCGAGGTGGGCATATCAGAAAATGATGGGCCTTGAGCCTTCAGTCCTAGCAGAACACAGTAGGCTTCTGCTTATATGGATCCTCAGATAAGGTAGTCACATTTTGACAAAAGGGTTTTGGTGTTGGTTCTTGTACGTTTGAAAGAATCACCCAGGTATTACGATCC